AAAAGGGAACGCACTTCTCTACATGCTTCAAACAAAATAAGAACAATTAATTGCCTTTATGCACCTGACCCTTCTGCCCTTTGGTGTTGGCGACCAGATCCTTGCTGGATGCTGACCACCAACTAATAAACTTGTTGCTCTCTGTACTTGGCTTCTGTGGGTGACTGATTTAGGTAAGCATACTCATCACAACACCAGGAAAATAAGAACAATCCAATACCAAAACTACTAGACTAGAATGAAAGAAATTACACAGATCAGAGTGGAAATTAACAAAACTGAGACAACAAAAATATAAAGAATCAATGAATCAAAGAGTTGGTTTTGTAAAAGGCTAACAATAAATATTCATAAATCCTTAGCCAAACTTATCAAAAGAAGGAAAGAAAACAAGCATAGCAATGCAATTAGAAACAACAGAGAGGTGTGATCAGTAGGGACACCACCAAAGTTATAATAAACTACTTCTAAAACTTCATTTGTGCAAATTGGAGAACCTAGGTGAAAGGGAGAAATTCTTAGATACACATGAATTACAAAATTGAAGCAACAAGAGATAAAAATCAGGAATAGGCCAGTAACAGACAATGAAAAGAAGCAATAATGCAAACCCTACCAACGAAGAAAATCCCAGGTCCCGATGGTCCACTGCTGAATTCGTCCAGGGCTTCACAGAAGGTCTAAACACAAAGTGCCCCAAACTCCTCCACGAAACTGAAAGGGAATAGACATTGCCAAATGCATTCCTGGAAGCATAGCAAACCTGGACAAGGTGTAACAGAAAAAAGAAAATTATAAGCCACACTCCTTACTGAACACAGATGCAAAATTCTCAACAAGAAAAAGGTAGATGGCAACAAATCATTAAAAAAGATACTGCAACCAGGCATGGTGGCATATGACTGTAATCCCAGCCCTCCAGAGGCTAAAGCAGGAGGATTGCTGTGAGTTCAAGGCCAGCCCAGGCAACATAGGGAGTTTAGGGCTAGCCTCAACTACATAGGAAGACCCTGTCTCAAAACAAAGATATTACACCATAATTCAGTGGCTTCATCTCAGGAATGCAAGGATGATTCCACATATGTCAGTCAAAGAACCAATGCACTGGGTGTCACACATGCAATACAGAGGCAAAGACAAAAATCACACCATCACCTCTATAGAGGTAGAAAAAGCCCATCATAGGGAGGAGTCTTGGCTGGTGAAACAGACAAGAAAAGAACAAAAACACACCATAAGCCATGGAAATATACTGACAGGGTCGGGGAAAAGAGCAGTATGGCACATTCATTTATGGGGACTCTTGGAAATTGAGGGAAGCTGGCAGAGGTGGAGCAGGTGAGGTCTGGGCTCTGCTGGGAACCAAAGTGAGCATGCCAGGAAGGGTGGCGGGACCTGCAGAATCCAGTTCTGCCCCTGGAGTCAGACCCTGTGCACACCGCTGGACTTGAAGACCACTGTGGACTCTCGACCCTGGGGTGGCCCCAGGTGAGGGACGTGTTTTGAGTTTCAGGCTTCTGTGAAGCACTGGGCTGTGTTAATTCAACTTAAAGCCTGAGGCTAAAGTGAGAAAGCTCACGCCACAGACAGGGTCCCTGAGCAATTCAGATCTGCGTTTCCCCCCCTCCCCCAGGACCTTGCGCTCTCCAGACAAGCACTTAGTCCTCTGAGCTACCTCCCCAGCCCTGAAATCTGCCTTACTGATAGCCGTGACAAGGCTATCCCAGACAGACTTGTAACAAGGAGTCCCTTCCGACTTCATGTACACAAGGCCCTGAAACACAAGCTCGGTTTGAAGGGAATTAAGTCAAACCCATGAAGGACTGGGATTGGGCTTGGTTAGAAACCAAGATGATGGTAAAGACCTCTAGGGAGAAAGGAGACGATGGTAAGAATCCCGTTGTGCTCTTTCTGTCTTTCCTGGGAGACCCCAGGCACGCAAGCGGCCGGAAGTGACGTCCACAGACTCTGTCTCTATGAGGACAGAGCAGTTCAGCGTCCAGGGCTGAGGTGAGTGGTCGTGTGAGGGCAGCCGGGAGAGCTGAGCTTAGTTAAGGGCCACTTTCAGCGGTTGAGGGGAATGGGAAACCCCCACTCCAGAGAGAGGGAAATACAAAAGCGCCACACATATACTTGTTGATGTCCTAGCACTCCCGGGACGATTTTTCAGGTAGGGACTTTACGGCTTTCGACTGAAAGCAGGGATTAAAGCCACATTCCAGGTCCTCTCTTCAGGCTGGAGGAGAGAAGAGGTTCTGGGACTCAATGAGCTGAGTATGAGGAATGAGTAAGGTGCGCCCCGAAATCTAGGCCCAGAAACTTCCAGGAAAGCCACAGCTGCCTGCCGGCTGCCGTACACAGGGCAGATATCCCGGAAGTGCGCCATTTTTGCCCTCACACAGCGCTGACAGGAGATTCAGAGAATTCTGGGGGTTCTGCTCCAATCATGGCAGCTCCAAATGCGGAAATCTCAGGAGAGGCCCCTGTGACCTCTGTGTCTGGCCAGGATAGTCAAAGGTTTCCTCAGACCCTGGCTTTAAATCTGGGGACAGATATACAGCTGGCTTAGTAGGTACGGACAGGGCTATGGGAGCGCTGAGGTCCTTTGACCCAAAGAACTCCATTTTGGGGTCCAGGGTTACATTAAGGATCTGAGAGGGCTCAGGCTGCCTTAGGCCCAGAGACAGGCTGAGAGCAGAGTGCGGGAATGCTCTCGCAGGGGCAGGGTGCTGCACTAATTCCTCCTCTTTTTCTTATCAGCTTTGGACCCCAGAGCTGACTTGCCTGGGACTCCACCCCTTCCCTCCAGGGTCCTCTGCCTCCCTCTGCAGAGAGCAGACCCAGGAGGGAGCCTGCAGGACACCAGAAAGTCAGAGCCTTGGGGTGAGCAACACACTCAGGTAAGCTCTCTGGCCTGTGTGCCAGCACCCGCGCTAAAGACCCAGGGGAGGAAGGCGGGCCCCTCACCACCAGGAGCACCTCAGCCAGCATCCCTGCCCCTTGTCTCAGGCTTTGTAGGAAGGGCGTGCCCTGAGCACGGGGCAGAACCAAGCCCTACCCCAGGCCAAGAGAGAAAGCAGGCAGGCTGAGGGTCTGAGGACGAGGGGCCAAAGACTGTTTGGAAACTGGGCAGGTCCTCAACTCTGACTCTGAGGGAGGAGAACTCAGATCCTCCTAGGGCCGGGCTGCTTGTAGGACCCACAGCGAGGACTTGAGACCCCTGCACTCTTGATTAGAGGGCCAACTCCGCCTTGCTGTCAGCAAGGAGTGGGGGACACAGTGCGCCGCTTCTCCTGACTTGGTGTGAGGGTGGAGGGGGCCATGGTCTCAGCAATATGGCCTCAGGTCAGCACATCCAGGACTGGCAAAGCCATCTCCTGCTTGGTCCCCAGCTGGACCGAGAGGAAGTCACCTCCTCCACTGCCTTCCAGCTCTGTGGTCTCAGGGAGGTGGTGGCCTGGGATTGAATAAGCACACGCAGTCAGCAGAGAAGTGTGGGCTGCTGAGCACGCTCCAGACAAAGGAGGGCTTGGCTGCCGCTCAGCATCAGCATGGGGGACAGCGCACGCAGGGGTGTCCAGAGGTGCTGTGCCCTCACACCTTTTTCCTTGCTGGCAGTGGCATCACATTTTGGTGTGCAGAGTGTGGCCAGGTCAGCAGCCTTGAAATACCTGGTGCACAGAGCGTGCAGAACTGCAGTCTCCAAGAATCAAGGAGAACTTCGGTGAGCACTGAAAGTGGGGAGGGTGCCACACCCCAGAACTCAGGGAGCCCACACAGCCTGGCGTCAGCTGGAGGCATCCTGGGGCCCAGGTGTCCCAGGAATGGCTAGGAGTCTGGACGAAGGCACAGGGAGCCTCTTAGCCATTTATACAATGGCCCAGCCTCCACCAGGCTCTGTTGTCTCCTGTGATGCCAGTGTTTCCTCAGGAAGTGTCTCAGGAAGCTGGGTCACTCATTAAAGGTGGCTTCAGCTCAGCTGCAGGAGAGGTCAGACCTTTGCTTGCATGGAGGCCAGGGCCTCACAGCTTGCCCTCCCCAGGGTAGTGGACCCGATGCCGACAGCTTCTCCCTGTTGCCCCTGGCAGGTGTGGTTTCATGGGCTTCTCACTGCTATTTGTCCAGGTGGCCACTCATTCTGAGAATTTTCCTCAGGCCAGCTGTAGACTGGGGTCTAGGCCTTACCCCAGCACAGTTGAGGGCCCTGAGTGAGAGGAGAGGGACTGTGTACCTGCAGCAGTTGTGAGCTTTCAGAGCCTCCCACCCTCTTGGGAGGGCGGGGTCCCAGGACAGTGATTGTGGCCTAGGGATCATTTATGCCTCCTACGGGGCTCCAGGAGAAGCCAGTGTAGGCCTGGGGGTGGGGCAACACCCCCGGGTCACACAGCACAGTTGTTGGGGCAGTATCCGGTGTCAAGGCATGCCTGCAATGTGCTGTGATGGTCCCACCCCAAAGAGAAGGGACCCTGGGGTGGCTGGCACCTTTTCCCACTGTCTCCTTTGGTCATTGCCCAATATGGGCTGGGTCCACCCAGTGAGCTGCTCATGTCCTGTTCCCAGTTCTGTGAGAACAAGCTCTCCATGCAGAAGGACAGGAGCCCCCAATGCCGTAGAGCACCCTTTTAAGCACAGATCTGGACTTAACCTTTGTGAGCCCTGCCAAGTGCTTAGCGGAGGATGCCCTCGGGCTTACTCTATCCCACAGGCCTCTTGATTTCCTGTCACTGAGCTCCTGCTGCGGTCCCATACCATTGCAGCAATGTCTGGATCTCCAAGGCAGCCTCAACTGGAGGAAGCTCAGGACCAAGGTGAGACACCAGTGGGTTTGTGGGTGGACACGTTCCTGATGCAATGTGGGAGGCGGCTGCCTCTCAGACTCCCTCTCATTGCCTTCCTCCTATCCTCTTCTTTGTTGTCTCATCCTAGGCAATGGAGAGGACAGGTCTGGTCCTGAAATTCTGGATCCTCCTCAAAATCCTGAGGGAGCCTCCTCGAGCCCCATGGCCATGGCCGCTGCCCCATGGAGTGAGTCCCATGAGGGCTCCAGCAACAATGAAGAGCAGAGTTTGTTCTCTTGGCAGACACTGTCAACCGTTGAGTCCTTGATGGGTTATGCTATTAATAGCAAGATGGCTGACTTGATGACATTCTTGTTCATCAAGTATCAAAAGAAGGAAATGACCACCACTGCAGAAATGCTACAGTGTATCTTCCAAGGGTGTGAGGAGCAATTGCCTGAGATCTTCAGGATTGTATTTGATTGCATGTACCTAGTCTTTGGCATTGATGTGAAGAAAGTGAACCCCTCTAGCCACTGCTACACCCTTATGCCTGCCCTGGGCCTTTCCTATGATGGGCTGGTGCCTGGTGTCCAAAGCTATCCCAGGATCACCATCCTGGTAATCGTCCTGGGAATTATCTTTTTTGAGGGAAACCGTGCCACAGAGGAGATCATCTGGGAAGTATTGAGTGGGATAGGTGTGTTTCCTGGGATTGAGCACCCCATCTACGGGGAGCCCCAGAAATTTATCACTGAGGATCTGGTAAACGAGCACTACCTGGAGTATAAGCCTGTGCTTTACACCGATCCTCCTGAATACGAGCTTGTGTGGGGTCCAAGGGCCCTCATTGAAACCACCAAGCTGGATGTCCTGGAATTTTTGGCCAAGGTCAAAGGTACCACCCCTAGTGCCTTTAATGAATGGTATGAGGAGGCTGTGAGAGAGGAAGAGGCGAGATACCAAATTCCAGATCCTTCTGAATGGCCATAACTAGGGCCAGGGCCAAGGTCAGGGCCAGGGCCACATCCAGCAGCATCTCCTGTCCCTTGCAATTTGTCAGCCAGATTGTTCCATCTACATTCTAAATGAAATGTGTAACATGCTTGCATTTCTGTCAATATGAGTGATTTGGCCAGTTCTGTTATTCTTTCATGTGTTCTTCTTTTCACGCATTTGAGTAATTTCAAAGGTTTTAATGAAATTGGCCACACACGCATTTACACAGTTTAAGAGTTTCACTGATTTTTAAAACAAATGCCAAAACCTTCCCAGCCTTGCCCATGGGATGGTGGGACAGAGGCAGCGGCCATAGCAGGAAGGAGGGCAGATGTCCTCGAGGATCGGCAGCAAGGAGGGCCCAGCACGGACAGGTCCAGGGAAGACTGTGGGTTGAGGGCAGTGGGGCTCAGCAAAAGCTGCAGAGAGCATTGTGTGCAAGCCGATTGTAAGGGTCACGCACCCTCACTGGCTGCACACAGCTGCGGGATCGAAAGGCTCAAAGTGGGAAACTATTTGAAATACTTCTTTCTGTCCATAGAGCAAGCAGAGAGGAAGCCCCACCTGGGGGAGATGTGAGCCCTGTCCTGAGCGCTTGCCTAGTCCTGCCATTCCCACCACAGGAACTAGGTCAGGGATCCCATCTGCTGGGGGTCCTCCGCAGAGGTAGAGGCCATGGTGACACTTCCTTGGGCTTCTGCCCAGAGCTCCAGACTGACACTTTCTTTCCCTGGGTGGCCTAGAGGTAATTCCACTGGAACACAATAGCTAGGATTTTAGTGCCATTAGCACAGCTGCTGTCCACTGCCCGGTGTGAAGAGGCCTCGACATGGGACATCTCCTTCCCAGTGAGGCATGTGTTGGAAGTGTTTCCACACCCAGGCCTCTAAGAGCCAGTATGCAAGCTCACGCTTCCTGCGCCCTCTCAGCAGCAAGTATGGCACCGTCTAGGTGTGGGTGGGGACGAAATGAGTGAAAGTAGTGACTGGACTGGCAAAGCAGCGGGGAGGGAAGGGTCTGGTCCTGCACATACTTCCTAGGAGATGGCGCTGCACCTCCAGGAGAGCTTCCCAGGGAGCTAGAGATACTCTCTGACTTTGCTGATGGTCAACTGGCTAGTGGCTTTATTCCTCCACAAACTCATGTTGTCACATGTCCTGTGACAGGGACGAGTTAGTGAACACCAACTCATGGAATTTCCCTTTTGGGTCCATTGGGTCCTCCACATCCTGCAGAGCTGCAGATCCTCTGATAAGCCCTGGAGAGCAAGGACAGTAAGAACAACACCCCCAGGGATGGGGGTGGGATCCAGTCCCATTAGAGATGGCAGCCACCTGCCATTCCATGTAGTCACCACTCAAGCCAGGCTCAGGGCTGGGTGCTTACACGCAGGGCTCACCTTCATGCGGTCCTGCAGGACAGGCCTGGTCCGGCTCCCTTCCCAGAGGAGAAGCTGCAGCCTCCCCGGGCCGGGAGTTTCCAAGGTGACGGCCGGGAAGTGACAGGGCTGAGTGAGTACATCTCGAGGCCACTGCTGACCTCACTCCTTCCATCCCAGGTCCAAATTGCTGGTCTCCGAATCATTTCTCAGCCCAGCTTAACGTCTCTCTGCCAACCAGAAGAAGGATGCGGGGTAGGCTGACGCTCTACGAGCAAACCTAGAAAGACGACAACCACGATAGAGGGAATGTCTGTAGTGGACTCGAGAGAACCAAGCGCAGTTTCGGGCACTTCTCTCAGTGCCAGCACCTTCCTGCTGTGCACCCATTACCTGGTTCCCCCCACGTGCCCTTCCTTCCAGCCCTGGCACCTGGCTCAGCCCTTGCCTGCAGCCTCCTCCTGAGGACACACATGAGCCCTGCCCTCCCCATTCCCCTCAGGAGTCCCTGGCTCAGGGCAGCTCATCCCGGTTTCCCTGTCACAGCCGTGGACCTTGCTCAGAGGAGCTCACGCAGCACCGTGACTGCAGACACCTGGGCATCCGCGCCCAGGCACCATCACACTCTGGCTTCCCAGTGGGCACCAGTAGTCCGCCTTGGCTGACCGTCTGCCGGCCTTGGGTCATAACCCTGAGGGTGGAGGGAAGATTGTTGGGGCTGCCCGAATGCCTGCATAGGATTTAGTGTGTGTCTTACTGGGAACTGGAAAGCGGGCACAGAATCGGATGCATGAGCTTCTCTTGGGGTCAGCGCCAAATGCGTCCCCATCAGTGGTAGATCAGGAGCCGCCATTCCTGAAGCTGAACTTCTCGGGACCTCACAGTCCTCCCAAGAGGAGAGAAAGGGCTCCTCCTCAGACACGCTGGCTCAGACTGGATGAGAAAAAGTAATTTGCCTTCTGTCCTGGGCCTCCCATCTGGTACCTGCGTCTCTTCTGGCCCTCAGAGAGACCGATGGACCTGTCCGGAGGGGTACTGAGGTGGAACGGTCATGTGGCGGGGGGACCGAGATTCCCAGGCTATGACTTTGGGCCTGCAGCAAATGGAAGGAGAAAAGCCCCATTCTGAGAAGAGGGAGAGCATTGCAAAGGGAAGGTCAGAAAACCGCTCCAGCGGCAAAGGTTGACCCCTCTCTGCCAGCTGTTACATGGTCCTCTTCAGGTCAGGGGGGATAACGCGGGACAGCAGAGCGTGGGTCATGTCTGGGACCTCGGGAGGGCAGAGATGTTCAAGGCAAACCCGGTCTTCTCAGAAGCATCTCCAAGCAATGAGGACTGATGTTGCCTAACAGAGGAGACTGTCGCTTCCTA